TTACTGTTGCAAGTAATCACCCTTTGGCTGTGGTGAAGAGCGGTTATCCACTGCAGTGGGTAGCTGTGCTGCAGTCTCAGAGAAGCACACCCCTGAGCTGTGCTGCAGTCTCAGAGAAGCACACCCCTGAGCAGTGGTTTCTTATCTAAGAACAGCACCCAGGGAGGTATGTCTCAGGTTCTGACCCCTGTACAGAACTTGCCAGGTTCCAGGGCAGTGGTGGGAAAATCTGAACACAGTGTTTTATAAACATTCTCTAAAGAAGGGATTGGCAAACTGCAGCTTATAATGCCCCTGTCTTGTGGTGGGAGTTTTGTTTTGTGGTACCAGGGCTTGAATCTGAGGACTTCTCATTGGTCTACATTCCCTTTTAAAAATTTTTTTTATTTTGGGCCAACATGTTGCTCTTGTAGGGTGTATTTCTTTTCCTACTTTTGCTTAGCCCAAACTACTGTGCGGTCTGGTTTTCTTTTTCTACCTTTAATAAAACCTCTGTACTGGTAAAAAAAAAAGTTTTTAAAAAATTTGTAGCCAGGCAGAGTGATGCATATCTGTAATCCCAGCTCTTGGGAGGCTGAGGCAGGAGGGTCCCTGCAAGTTTGAGGCCAGCCTGGGCTACAAAGTGAGTTCAATGCCTGTCTGAACTACATAGTGAGACTGTTTCAAAAAAAATGAATAATAGATAGATAGATAATATTTTGTGACAGGGTCTGGCTAAATTGCCCAGGCTAGGGTTGAATTTGAGATCTTCCTACCTCAGCCTCTCCAGAGAGCTAAGATTACAAGTGTGCACCATGACACCTGTTCAGAGTATGGGGTTGGTTTGTTTGGGTTTTTTGTGACAGGGTCCTTCTGTGTAGCTCAGGCTGGTTGTGAACTCACAATGTAGAGTTCTGAGATTATAGATGTGCATCTCCACCCCTGACTGATGGATGGTTTTTATAGCTTTTAATGATTGGGGAAAAAAAATCCAAAGAATATTTCAGGATATGTGGAAGTAAATTTTTTTTTTTTTTTTGGTCTTTTTGAAACAGGGTCTCGCTGAGCAGTTTAGGGCGTCTGTGAGCTCACTTTGTAGCCCAGGCTAGTCTCCACCTCACTCCTCCTGCCTCAGCCTCCCGAGTGCTGGGGTTATAGGCGTGTGCCACCACGCCCGGCTAAATTTTTTTTTTTTCTCAGTCAGGGTCTCATTATGTAGTTCAGGCTGGTCCTGAACTCACTATGTAGCTCAGGCTGGCCTCAAACTGGCAATGATCTTCTTGCCTCAGCCTCCTAAGTGCTGGAATTACAATTGTGCGCCACTACACCCGGCAAACTGCATTTTTGAAGAATGGTTAGGTCTTATCTTTTTTTTTTTTTCTTTTTTTTTGAGACGGTCTCAGTATGTAGTTTAGGCTGGCCTGGAACTCACTGTGTAGCTCAGGCTGACCTTGAACTTGCAGTGATCTTGCTTCAGCTTCTCCTGAGTGCTGAGATTACGAGTGTGCCCTGTCCCATGTTAAACCTGAAAATTAAATTAGGTTGGTAGTGCCTGGGAGCCTAAAATTTCTGTAATGTCTTCTCAGAAGGAGATGGTAGATCCTTCCAGCTGGCTGCACAGAGTGAGGCTGACTGAGCCATTGGCTGGTTGCAAAGTTCTAGTGACCTTAGCACCAGAAAAACCTGTTTTCTGTGATAGCATCCACAAATATAATTTTATAACAGCTAGAATTTGAAATGCCTGCCAGGCTTTTATAACTTAGGTTCATATTCCAAGTAATCTATGATTTTTACCTCTCTTATGTTTTTCTTTTTCTTTTTTTTTTTTTTTTCCTGGTATCAAGAACCAAACTCATGACCTTGCACTTGCCAGGCAGGCGCTGTGCTGCTGAGCTCAATCCCCAGCCCCTCTGTCTTATGTTTTTCCAAAAGAATTTTACTGTTTTCTAAAGACAAATTCTGGGCCAGGGAGATAGTTCAGTGCCATTTAGCAAGTTGCTGAGACCCAGTCTCAAAAAAGGACTGGGAGGCTAGGCATGGTGGTGCATGCCTGTAACCCCAGCACTCGTACTTGGGAGGCTGAGGCAGGAGGATTGCTGTGAGTTTAAGACCAGCCTGGGCTACAAAGTGAGCTCTAGGCCAGCCTGACCTGCATTGCAAGACCCTGTGTAAAAAAAAAAAAACCAAAAAAAAAAAAAAAAAAAAAAAAGGAGTAGGGATGTAGCTGAGTACAAAGGCACTGGATTCAATCCTCTGTTCCTCCCCACAGACAGATTCCCCCAGCCTTGGCCAGCGCTTTTGGTATGTTGCTCTCAGTGACCTTCTCATTAACTGTGACTGAAAACAGAGGCCTTGCAGAGGCCAGTAAAGAAGGGAATTGGCACTGTGAGCGCTCTGACGGTGAGAAAATGTTTGGACTTTTAGCAACTCAGTTCTGTGTTTTCCCATTGCCTGTTGATGTTGTGGTTCTTTCTGTCTGTTGGTTTAACACCTGGCTCCCTGAGTAGATCAATGTGGATTCAGATCCCAACAGCTTAAACGAAAAACTTAAGGAAGATGACAAATCATGGAAGCCATCTTTTTTTTGTCGTCAGTGCTGAGGATTAGTGGCAGGGCACTGTGCATGCTAGGCAAGTGTTCCACTGCCTAGCACTGTCAGGAGCTCTTTCTAGTGTTCGTTTGTTTGTTTAACAGGGTCTCACTGTGTAGCCCAGGCTAGACTGAAATGGTGATCCTCCTGCCTCTGCCTGCTGAGGAAGCAGCCTGAGCAGTGGTGCACGCCTGTAATCCCAGCATTCTGAGAGGCTGAGGCAGAATTGCAATGCAAGGCCAGCCTGGCAACTGAGATACTGTCTCACAGAAAAAAGAGTCTGAGAGCATGGTGCACACCTGGAATCCCAGCACTTGAGAGGCTGAGGCAGGAAGATTACTGTGAGTTTGAGGCCAGCCTGGACTACACATAGTGAGAACTTGTCTCAAGAGATCAAAAAATAAAAGGCCTTGGATGTAGCTCAGTGAAAGGCCCTGAGTTCAATCCCTCCCACTGGAAAAAGAAAGAGAGGAGAAAAGAAAAACCTTCTAGAGCTGTATGGGGATGTACACAGAATGGTAGAGTGTGTAGCGTGTGCAGTGCCCAGGGTTCAATCCCAGCACCACAAAAAAGAGTAGGTGTTTCAGTCAGGCAGGGACCCTTGGCCACAGTGGCAGCGGGAGAGAAAGTGTCTCGGTCGGCCCTGACTGCCCTGGGAGGCTGTCCGGAGCCGCCCCCTCCGAGCCTTAGCTCAGTGAACCTCTTTATTGTCACTGCAAGGGATCTCCACCTTTAAGCCCACTCTCCCAGATGGTTTGCTGGCCATTGATTTTCTCACTGCAAACTCAAGGGCTGGGGCTCAGGTTTCCTGTCCTCCCGCGCACTTCCTTAGCTCTGCCAGCAGCTGCGCCTTCTTATGAGCGCTGAGAAGAGTGCAGGGCTGAGCCTGGGAGATGAGGGCCCGATTCCGGGTGGTGTGAGGGTCCTGCACTCTCCCTGGAGAGAGCTTCTTTCTTACCCTCAGACTTCGGTCCCAACATATGCAGGGATCTGGCACCTTTGGTTCCGAAAAGCCCCAAATTCTACCATTCTTGGGCTGTCAAGTCCAACTGCACTTAGGTTTGCTGGGCCCCTCTTGAGCTTTTGGTCTTTGTTTTGAGATGTCATTCACACACTATACACTTCCCCATTTAAGATGTACACAATTCCTCCTTTTTTATTTTAAGTTGTACTAGAAACTATTCAGGAAGCAAGGACACAGTCTGAATGACTGCTAGGAGTTTCAGGTTTGCAAGGCGTCAGCTGATGATGCCTCTGTAGCCAGTCGTGCTCCCTACCTAGACGTTTGACGGCAAACAGATTCCCAAGTCCACCTTTTTTGTTTTTTGGTTTTTTGGTTTTTTTCTTTTCCAGTTCAGGCTGGCCTTGAAGTCACAATGTACCCCAGCCCTTGAACTGTCGGCAGTCTTCCTGCCTCAGCCTCTTGAGTGTTGGGATTATAAGTTTGTGGCATCATGCCCAGCTGTTTGTTTTTGAGGCAGGGTTTCACTGTGTAGCTGAGGCTGGCCTCCAACTCATGAGTTCTGCTCAGCCACCCCAGTGCTGGGCTTACAGGTGTGTTCACCACTGTGGGTCCTTTGAATCTTGGACTTTTTGACGGGGGTGCTTGTGCATACTTAGCGACCACTCCACCGCTGAACTGCATCCCTGGCTCTGATCGTGTCTTGTTGGTAGCAGTGTTGCCTTTGGAATTTGAGAGCTGCGTGGGTTGACTAAATCATACACTGGAGAACTCTGTTCTGCATGTTTTCCCTGGGCCTGTTGATTGCGTGTTTTGTGACCTTTGGCACATTGTCAGAAGCACCTGTTGCAGGTGTATACCAGCTGGTTCTGGCTGATTTATTATACGCAGAGGGTGCCTGCCTAATCCTGCCATATTACCCAGGCTGGCCTTGAACTCATGGCCTCAAGTGATCCTCCTGCCTGGACCTCCCTGATAGCTGGGACTACAGTTGTGTGGCACTGTACCCAACCCCTCCTTTTTAAAAACTCACATACTGAGAGCCGGGTGCAGTGGCACACCTTGTAATCCTAGGAGGCGAAGGCACACCCTTCTTAGGAGGCGAAGGCAGGAGGATTGAGAGTTTGAGGGCAGCCCAGGAAACATAGTATAGTAAGACACTGTCTCAAAAAAAAAATGACTGATTTTAAGTATGTGATCCAAGGATTTTTAGTACATGTTACAGAATTGTGCAGCAATTATCACAGTCTAATTTTAGAACATTTCCATCATCCCCCAAAGATCCTTGTGTCCTTTGCTGTCCCCACCCTCTAGCGGCCCCCGCATCGCACAGCCACTATTCCACTTCCCTTCTCAGTTGACTTGCCTTTTCTGGACATGTTGTATGATTTAGTTCACAGGAAACATTCAGATAAGGGACTTTTAAACTGGTGATTTAATGGATGGTTGCTTTCAGAACTTCCTGCTTCACAGTTCCCCTTTGCTGCTGTGCAAGGTACCTGGGATTTACTGGCCTGCGCGGAGCCCCTGGGGAGGGGCTGTTTGCTTGTTTTGCACGGTAGCAACCTTTGTCCTCTGTAGATTGGTGACTCGAGAAACATCGGTTTTCATGCCCACGGCTGTGATGTATTTTGGGAGACACAACAGATTATCCCCACTTGGTAAAGTAAGTCTAACAAATGTGAAAACAATTAAGAGTAAAGGAAAACCTATTAGCAAGCATGTGGCTCTGGGATACTTGCATTTGAGTCCTGCTTTTGTAGCACCCTGTGCAGGTTAGGGTCATTCGGGGCTGGGCTGCCAGGCAGATAAGGGATCCCATGGTCGGGTTGTTCCTTTCGGGGCCTTTCAGTCATTGGAGTCCTCCAGGAGAAAGGCTCCGTCGGTGCGAGTCATTCCGTCGGTGCGAGTCATTGTTACCTGTCTTTTCGGAGGAGAGGCCAGCCTTAACCTTTTACGTAGAAAGGTACCTACAGGAGTTTACCTTGTTTCCCTGTGATTAGAGCAGGCCAGGGTTTGGGCCTGTGAAAGCCAGGTCCATCTCCTGTGCTCAGCAGGGAACCATCCAGAGTTCTGGAGCCGAGGTGTGACTTGTATTGCCTGTGGGGTGGGACAAGTAGGGTTAGGAAGCCTGTTTCTGGAGCTCTGGTTTGGGATGTGAAGTGGCCGGCCAGGTGGGGAGGGGCAGAAAGGTTGGGAAAGGTGCATTTGCGGGGTGCTGTGCTCGCTGACAGCGCCCTTCCTTCCGGACCGCACTTTGGCGCTGTCGTCGTCGCAGTGCTGAGTGCTGCCGGGCCTGGTCGGATGGAGCAGCATCCAGAAGAGTCCTGGCCTCTGTTTGGGCGTCGGCACTCACGTGTCTGTACTGGTTATGTGTGTCTTCCATGGGGGCAGGGACGGAATCACTGTGCAGCTGAAACAGAGTTGAGGGAGCAGGTTAGACTCTGCGCCTGGATGACAAGTTTCTTTCCTGTAAGAGGAAGGAAATGCCCAACAGACACGGGGCTGGGAAGCAGCCCACAGAGGGACTGGCAGCAGCTCACGTAGATCCTCAGCCACTCGTAAGATGGAAATCAGGGGTAGGCTGATCCTTGAGCCTGATGACGCCGGTCACTATTGGCTGCCCTCTTCTGGGCTCTCTAAGGGGAAGGGTCTGTACTGTATATGGGCTTCCGGGATGTTCCCAGTTGGCTGAGGGCTTTGGCTCAATTAACGTGGAAATGCACAATTGGTAAAGTATAGCTTTATTCGTGTTGCCACCCCTGAGCTCTGCGCGCCTACAGCTATCAGCTCTTTCAGTGTTGGCTGCTCTCCTTTCGGCTCAGAGCCAGCAGCTACCCAGGTGTGGGGAACTCTTCAGCTGGCAGAGATGGCAGCTCCCAGCAATCTTCATTACTCTCCGTTCTCCTGTGGCTGCCCTCGGTGTTACCAGCTCTTAGTGTACCAGTTCTGTGTGATCTGTTCAAGATAGAAGTCACACATAGGCAAAGATTCGTCATCTGAAAAAGGCTTTATTGGGACTTATGCCACAGCATAAAGGGGAACAGCACACAACGAAACCCACTCATGGTATAGGGAGGTGGATTATATAGGAAAAAAGGTGGACTCGTGTAGCAGTGTTGATAGGCAGGTGGGGCCCCGTGTGGACCTAACTGAGGAGGGCTGCAAAGGGACAGAATCATCCAGAGAGGCGACAGGGCAGGGTCATCTGAATAGGTCCAGGTCTAAAGTTAGCTACAAGGCTGGACATGGTGGCGCATGCCTGTAATCCCAGCACTCGGGAGGCTGAGGCAGGAGGACTGCTGTGAGTTTGAGGCCGGCCTGGGCTACAAAGTGAGTTCAAGGCCAGCCTGAACTGCATAGCGAGACCCGGTCTCAAAAAGACAAAAAAAAGTCAGCTACAGCCAAGGCAGATGCCTCCCAGAGCAGCCATGGGGGACCTGAGACACTACAAGGCCTTCGGTGGAGCCACAGAAGAAAAATACCTGTTGGTGTGTGCTGGGCCTTAGAACTGGCTGGACCTTAGGACTGTGGTTGTCCTCTTGGGGATTTGGAAGACCCCAGTCTTCCTCCCACAGTTAGGCAGATGACCTCAGTGCCAGGGTTGCCCTGCTGAGCTAGGTGGGTTCTGCTTTGTGTTTTAGACTTCTGCCGAGCTTCTCAGGTGGTGGGGAGATGCCGGGCCGCCATCCCCAGGTGGTGGTACAATATCACCGATGGTTCCTGCCAGCTGTTTATTTATGGCGGCTGTGACGGAAATCACAATAATTACCAGAGTAAGGAGGAGTGTCTTGGGAAATGTGCTGGTGTCACAGGTAAGATCATGGTAGTTGGGGAAATGTTACTCTTTGGGGGAGTTGTTGGTTGGGTGTGGCTGCCTTCTGTGCGTAGCTGTTCATAGTGGAACCTGGGAGAGGTTTTTAAAAGCACAAGGAACAGGCTCACAGGTCCCTGTGGCTACAGCGCGCTTTCACAGCACCTCCCTCCTTCCCAGAAAAGGAGGGCAGCCCCTCTCAGCACAAGGCCTCCTGATCCCTTTGCCCAGGGCTGCCTCTTCGGTCCCTGGGCATTTGGGGCTATTTTTACCTCTGAAACAAGTGACCTGCAAAGCTCACGCAGCCAAATCACAAAGTCAGGTTAACACTGGAACATGCACCTGGGATCCATCTTTCTTCCAGCCTTCACTTGCACAGGACTCTGTGGAATCAAGGTGATCCGCCCTGGCTCGGACCCTAGCACGGGGGAACCCTGAGAGAGAACTGGCAGTGGGGAGGCCTGATCCTTCCCCAGTGTGGAGAGGTCTGAGGGTGGGACTGTCCAAAGCCTCTTGGAAAGATTCTCAGGGGCACTGACCTGACATTAGTGTGAGACTTCGTGCGGTCTTCGTGACCGGCATTGAGGTCGCCCTGTGAGCCCATCCCCCTTTTGGGGTGTGGTTTCTCTGCTCATTCACTGGCTGTACTATATTCTGTCTCCCTTGGCTTTGAGCTAGGCGTTCAGGGATAAGCTAAGGTTATTTGAGTTGTATGTGTAGAAGTGACAACAACGGTGGCGTTGGTGTGACCCGCGTCTAAAGCCATACCGGGCACACAGCCCGGCAGAGACAGCACCTCTAAGAGCAATTTGCTTTTGTCTCAGCAAAGTCTGGAGAGCTGAGGAGCAGGCTGCGATTTTTAGATCGTACAGGCCAGTCTGTCTGTCAGGCGTAGGTGTCAAGATGGTAACTGAGGAAAATACCATTTATTGTGTTTTTCCAGCATCAGTTGTAACTCGATGCTGGGAAGAGTCAGGAAATACTTTTTGCCTCCTCTGCAGTTTCGAGGGCACAGACATAAGATGGGATGTTCCATGGGAAGTGGGTTGCATTTTGCTGGAAAAAAGCAGATTTTTGGTTTCCCTAGAGGTGGTCCAGATCCTGACCTCAGCCCCGAGGGCCCAGGAAGCTTACCTGGCTCTCTTGCGGCCTTCTCACAGGACCCCGAGATGAGAGCTGAAAGTGGCCGACAGCTGGTCCCTGGAGCTCTGTGCCAGCGTGTTTGCTCCTGGGCAGGGTACTCCAGGGGAGGCCAAAAGAGAAAAGGGATGCAATTATTAATTTATAATGAAAACTGGAGCCACCCTGGGACCAGACGCTCATGTCGCTGGGCCTGGCATGGCTCCACATAGGCAAGCCTCAGCCACATTGCTAGAAGATTGCTGGTGAAGAGAGCTGTGCAACCAGGGCAGCTGGTTTGTGAGGTGACTATCAGATGACCTCAGGTCAGGCCAACCCCAGTCTCCGGGACCCTCCCAGTCTAGCCCGCCCCTCCACTGACCGCCTTAACATCACATAAACCTGGCTGCTGTAACAACTTAAGTGTTCAGTTTGATGGTATTAAGTGCATTTACACTGTTGCATGTCCCCTTGCAATTCTTTAAGTAAGTAGATATAATTAAACAGATTATTTGGCCCTGGAAACCCTTCTTTTTAGAGGCACTTTGCACATGTCCTCGGATTGCCTGCCAGCTGACCCTCAGAGTAACCCAGAGACAGTCTGGGTTCCCAGTGGAGCAGGCCTGTGAGGTCCAGCTTGTGTGCTGAAGGCCGTGTACGGAAGAGATGGGAGCCGCATGGGAGGAACGGGGCCCACTAGACCTGCTCAGCTGCTCACACACAGCAGTCTCTCTTCAGCAGCCCTGGAGGTGCTTTTCTCACTGTCCTGTTTATTTGTCCCCTTACAGAGAACACCATTGATCATCTGGGCACCGGGAGGAGTGGAGCAGAGTCCTCTGCCCCAAGTGGTAGGTTCTTTAAGACCCCTATGGGACGAGGGCGGGCCAGATGGTAACTATGAAAGGACATCTGTAATTTGGGCATTTGAAGGGCTTCTGCTTACTGGTTCTGTTGGCTCAGGATGGCAAGCCAGGGTCTGCCTGGATAGCCAGCTTCCAGCTGCAGCACTCTGTTGCAGGATGTCCACTTGGCCAAGAGTCCCCTTGTGCAGCTAAAAGGAAGGCTGGGGCTTCTGCAGTGCCTCCCACCTGGCCGGCTTCCTGGAGGACGGGGTGACTGCTCCTGTGGCTCAGGCCTCTGCTGCTGCGCTGCCTCCACTTCCCCACCCTGCTTTTTTGCCTATTCTGCCTCCTTTGTTCCTTGTCATTGCTGTCTCCCGCCCTCTGCAAAAAGTCGTTTGTCCTCTGCAACTCTGCCTCTGTTACTGCATTTCTTGATCTCGAGCTTTGTGTTAGCTTGCTTTGTAGTGCTGACAGCAGCTGCCCCACTCCTCCTTTATGCTTAAAGGACTCTGCAGCAGGAGCCTGGGTGAGTGGCCCCGCACAGCAAGTCCCGCGTGCTCCTGAGCACCAGCCCCCAGGAAGTGGTTCCACGCAGAGGGAGGAATGACGGGCTGTACCCCAGCCCCTCCAAGGGGGAGCCTGCCTGGGCCGCCAGTCACATGCACAGGTTGCAGTCTGGGCCCTGGGCCTCCGACTCTGCCAGCAGGGCCTGGCTAAAGCTTGCAGAATGCCAGAGTCGGTCTGGGAGTCCTGTGAGTGTCCTGCCATTGTTCTGCCTGGGTCTGTGGTTTATTCCCTTGCGGGCCTCTCCAAGGTCATCCAGAGCCCTGGAGCCCTGGCATGATGACTCCGGTTTTCATCTTGTTTCAGAAGAAAATTTCCTGGCAGAGAAATTTCTGGCTGTGTCAGGAAATGTGAACAAGCCTGTCTTCCTTATTTGCGTGGTGGCACAAGTCTCTTTTCCAGCTTGCACGTTCAAAGCTAGCCTGGGCAGCGTAGTGAGACCCTGTCTCAATTAATTATTTAATTGGAAAATTGCCTTCTTCCACCAGAAACAGGTCTGGGATTAGTTTCCATTGTAAGTTTACTGTGAAAACTCGAAGTAGCAAGAGGGCCTCCCCCTCCATTGTCCATTCAGTGTGTAAATGCTCGAGAGCCCGTTAGGACTGGGAGGTAATAAGGTCCACACCTTTCCTTAAAGGTGACACTCCCCTAGTGGATCATCGTAGACTCAGCCCCTGCTAGGGCACGAGTCCTGTATACATCCCAGCTTTCCTAACACAGAGGTTTTGTATTTCAGGTTCCAGAAGGCAGAATTCTGATGACCTCTCTAGTGATATCTTCAGCTATGAAGGTATAACTTTTAAAATGTGTGTGTGTGTGTGTGTGTGTGTGTGTATGTGT